GAGGCCAAGAAGAAGTTTCTTGGAAGCGATGTCGGCAAGCGTACGGAAGTTGGGGTAACCCAAGCGATGATGGTAGAGGATGGTTGGGTTGGCGAAGCTGCGACACGAACACGGAGTGGTGTTGGCAGCTTGCGCTTGGGAGAGGGCGGCGAGAGGTGCAGGTGAACGCAGCGTGTAGAGCTTGCTGCTGTTGAGTGTGAAGCGTGCTAGGAGCTTGTTGGACTTAGGGTCGAGGAGGTCACAGTTATCCGAGTGTGCTGGGAAGATCGTGGTGACGCCTGCCCGTTAGAGCTCGTGTTCGGCCATGAGATTGTGGCGTAGTGTGGGAATACAAATGCCGGTGACACTGCCCCAAGGGAAAAGCTGGGCACGGAACTGTGGAGGAGCCCTTGGCGTGTGTTGTAAAACTGGAGTCTGCTCCTAGTAGACGGATTGGTGTCTCGTATGGCTTGAAGGAGTGTTCTTCCTTGAGAACTGTGTGAGTGGCCCCACTGTCGAGGGTGAACTCTATTGTGGCTGAGGTGCTTTGTGAGCCGGGACACTGCGAAATCGTCTTATTAATGATGGAAGTGCCAGGGAACAACATGTGGAGGCGCACATCAGCAGGGGGAGCTACAGCAGCCTGCACGGATTCGTGCGCTTCGACTTGATTGACCTTGCGAGGAGCACGATTGACCATCCAGCTTGGTGGCTTCGAGGCGGTCCCATTAACGGCATACCATTCATCATCCTTCTTCTTGAAGCAGGAGGCGATGGCGTGGTTGGTGCCACTACACACCTGGCCGGCACGAAGGCCACGCTTGATGACGTAGAGATGCGGGGGAAAGGGGTTGCGCTGGAATGCTGCCGAAGCGGCATAGGCCTGAGGCACGGGAGCACGGATTGCATTGGCCTTGGCTTGAGCGCTGTTGTCCTTTTCGGCAGAAAGGAGCGCAGATGAGACCTTGGCAAATGTGAGGTCCGCAGGAGCAAGACCCAAGAGCATCTTGCGTGTGACTTCGTATGTCGGAATGAGGGCGACTAGGAGAGCGGCTGCAGAGGCTTGCTCGGGGAAGACTATCCCCTTCTGCTTGAGTTGACCATGAATGGACTGTATTAGAAATAGATTTCAAATCCTACTTTTGTAGTTGTACTTTTATATCCTAGATTAGGTTAGGAATGTTTTAGTGGGTTGGGGTGTACTCACGAAATCCCAACCTCACCCAATTGTGATCCCCACAATCTCCAATTACCCAATTGGAGATTCCGGAGATCCCAATGGGGATTCCCTCCGATTCCCCTTTCACCCATTCTCCCTTACCTTGCCATGTACTTATAGAGCCTTGGGCTCCTTACCTAATTAATCATTTCAGCTCTTTTTCTTACATGGAATCAGAGCGACCTATTCGAACACGTGCCCGCGCTACGCACACCTCATCATTGCGACATTCATCTCGAGTTGTCGGAATTTTCGACGTGCTCCACTCTGCAGTCGCGCCTCTCATCGTCGACCGCCTTCGCGCTCGACCTCTTTGAATTTCTCACCTCTGAAGCTTTCACGCTTCTCATCGTCGATTTCCTCCTCGGTTCTCCTTGGTCGAATCTCAATTTCGACCACCTCTTAAAAACTCGTTTTCGAGTTTCCTCTCGGACGCCGCCAGCATAGGCGAACTCCCCTTGCACAATGGCATTCTAGAGAGCCGCAACCAAACCTTGGTTCAAATCGCTCGCTGCCTCCTCAGTCACGCCAACGCACCACGGTCACTCTGGGGATATGCCCTCTTCCATGCGGCTCTCTTCTACAATCTTTATCCGCATCCCCACCGGCCCGACACCACACGTACCACTCTCTGGCTTGGGACCACGCCCTCCGCCCCCTCTCTACACGTCTGGGGGTGTACCGCATATGTGTTGCTGAGCCCCCACATGCGCAGGAAGCAAGGTGGCAAGCTTGGTCCCAAAACCCAGACCTGCATGTACCTGGGGCACAACTCCGATTCCCCAGACTACTTATTCCTCAACCCCATCACCAGACAGCTGATTCGCAGCCGTGATATCGTATTCGATAAGACACGCCCCTTCCACTCTGCGACCATGGGCAAGCCTCGTCCACCTCCCCCGATGCTTGTATGGGCAGACTTCGATGCCCCACCTCCGGCCGCTGCCCCTTCTCCGAGGCCTTCTCCGTCCGGCGTGTCTCACCCGGCCTCCCCAGTATCCTCCGCAGCGGCACCTCCTCCTGCTCCGCCTTCCCCGCGCGTCAAGCCTGGCTCACCAGTCTCTTATCGGAGGCGCCCAGTCCCTCCGGTCCCACCGCAGCCGCCTTCGTCTCCAGTCTATAGTCTCACTCGTTCCAAGCGACCGGCTCCGCCTCTCGCCTGGGGACCAGCCGCCTTCTCCATCCGGTGTTCGGTCACCCCGCCTCCTCCTGCCGGGGGTGATGTCCCCTCCATCCGTATTCCGCCCCGTGCACTTCTGGAGGACAGTCATGAGGAGCTGTTTGACCTTCACGCGGTCTGCCAATTTCTCTCTCACATCTTCCCGGACATTACTGACTGCCCTTCCCTCAAGCTTCACCGAGAACCCGACCATTCCGACTCCTCGCACAAAAGAGGAAGCTCTCTCGGGGCCTTATAAGGAGTGGAAGGCAGCAATGGATGTAGAGAACGAGGCGTTCATTCGCAACAACAGCTTTGACGATGTTGTTCCCCCTTCCGGTGTCAACATCGTCGGCGGAAAATGGATCTTCCGAGTCAAACAACTCCCAGGCGAAGCTCCACTGTTCAAGGCACGATACGTGGCGAAGGGTTTCACCCAGAAGGAGTATCTCGACTTCTTCGAAACATTCTCGCCCACGGCCAAGCTCCCGACTGTGCGCGCTCTTCTTGATATAGCCGCTCGGGGCAACTTCGAGATCAAGTCCATGGACGCCTCCTCCGTTTTTCTCCAAGGCCAGCTCAAGGAGGATGTTCACATGGAACGCCCATCGAGGTTTCTTGGCACTTTTCCTGCCAACACAGTGTGGAAGCTGAAGCGCCCAGTGTATGGCCTCAAGCAGGCTCCTCGTGAGTGGCACAAGAAGGTGAAGAAAGTCCTGCCGTTCCGCCTCCTGTCGAAGTGCTTATGTCCTGCCGTTCCGCCTCCTGGACATCATGCTTGGTCTCCCAGAGGGTGACCTTGGGGACCCGCCGCCTCACCCTGGCGATCCCCCCCTTCTCATTCGCCATCCCGGCGAGGAACCTCCGCCCCCCATGGTACCCGTTGGCACCAGCACTCGCGCTGCCACCGCTGAAGTTGAGCAGCTCTTCCTTACTCCGCGTCGTGAGTTCCTTGTGCTCCATACTGATTACCTGATCGCGTTGGAGGAACACAAGCGGTCGGCAACCCTCCGCACCCAGCATGCCGCTACCGCCGCCGCTTATGCCGCTGACTCTGCGCGATTCGCTGAGCGTCGTCGCGCCTGGCTCGAGGCGGACAGCCGTGCTACTGGTGCCCTTCTCCTTGCCATCCCGTCTGCGCTCATGCGCAACTTCCAGGCACGTCGCATCGGCTCCCGCCAGATCTGGCTCGAGCTTGAGGCAATGTTCGAACGCACCGACTTTGATGCTGTCGGACCGCTCTTCAAGGAATACTTCAGCATCACGATCGAACATAGTGCTGGCGCCGTTGACTACACCAGCCGTCTCCTGGACCTTGCCTCCCGCCTTGAGGCTCGCCAGACTACTCTCCCCCCCAACCTTCAGATCTACCGTCTCCTCGAAGGCCTCTCCCCTCAATATGAAGTGCGCGTCATCGCCTTCACTGAGGCTCAGCCCCGCGCCTCCCTTGACACTGTGGTCCAATGGATCATTGACGCTGAGGCCCGCCTTCTCTCAACCCCCCCCTCCGGCCTGAACTCCACCGAGTCCCAAAACCCCCAGCTTGCAGTCACACAGCCACATCGTGGCGGGCGCCCACGTGGCGGCCGCACCAACCCTCAGGAAGGGGGTGGAGGTGGCGGTTGTGGGGGCAGCGGAGCCGGCGGCGGTGGTGGCGGGGTCGAGGGTGGCAGCAGTGGTGGTGGTGGAGGCAGTGGTGGCTCATCTGGTAGCCGTGGTAGCCGCCCTGGCACTCTCCCCCCATGTTCCTATCTTCGCCGTTTTGGTCCCAGGGCGGGTGAGCGCTGCACCCAAACCAACCATCCCCCCGCGACCTGCTTCAAGGCGTATGATGACGCCTGGTTCGAGCGCGGCAACACTGGCACACCCCCACGCTGGTCTGCCATGGATCCCCGCCCCTCTCTCCAGGATGTCAAAACTCTTCCGTCTTTCCTCCCCTCTCATCTTCAGCTCTCCTCCTCCTCCTCCTCTGTTGCTGACCCCATAACTCCCCAGGAGCTGCAGCAGTTTCGCCGCTTCCAGCAGCTGCAGCTGCAGCAGCAGCAGCAGCAGTGGGGCTCTGGTGGTCAGGCTGCAGCCGCAGCTGCAGGAGCCGCAGCCGCAGCATCTGCATGGCAGCAGCAGCAGCTTGGCTTTGGCACCGCCGCCATGGCTGCCACAGCCATACCAGGTCCTCCTGGCTTTCCCCTCTGGGGCTCTCCTTCCCCTAGTGCTCCCGCCTCCCACTCCAGCTGTCTAGGTGAGCTCATGCGTTATGCCCGTGTCTTCAGCTCCCTCCTCGCTCACGATTGACTTTGTTCTCGATAGTGGTGCCACTGAAACTGCCCTCAAAGACGCCGGCACCCTCACCTCCCTCCCTTTCCCCACCAGCGTTCATGGTGCTGATTCCAGCTTCTCCATCCCTTGCACTCATCTCTCCACCCTCCCCTGCCCCCCCTTCCCCTCTGGAGTGGTCACTGGTCTCCACATTCCCTCCCTTCGTCATAACCTGCTCTCCATTCGTGAACTCCAACAGGCTGGCATCACTACCCTCTTCCCCGCCTCTGCCACCTACTGTGACCTCCTCCACGGCCCCACTCGCCGCCTCCTTCATCGCCTCCCACTTTGCCCTCGCTCTCGTCAGTACATCCTCCGCACACCCCGCCCCTCCTCATGCCACGTGACCACTCGTGCAGGCACCTCCACTCTCCCCCCTCCCCTCCCTCTAGAGCCACCTTCCTCCAACTCCACCTCCTCCCCATGCTCTTGTCGCGCACTGTCCCACCCCGCTGTTCATATCCACCACCGCCATGGTCATATGAACTTTCCCACACTTCGTAAAGCCGTCTCCTCCCGCTTGCTTGACGGTCTTCCCCCCACTCTTCCTCCCCTCTCGTCCTCTTCCGCTCCCCCATGCGCCACATGCATTCATGGAAAGCTCAAACAACAGCCTCACCTCAGTCATCCTTCCTTTGCTGCTGCCCCCCTTGACCTCGTCCACATGGACCTCTGGGGCCCTAACCCTTCCCCTTCCCGCCAAGGGCACCGGTACATGCTTGTCCTAGTCGACGACCACAGCAGGTACTCCTCGGTGTTCCTCCTCCACACGAAGGCCGAGGCCCCTGCTGTCATCGTTACCTGGGCCGAGCAGTGCCGAGTCCACTTTGGTCGCCCCATCCGCCGCCTCCATTCCGACGGCGGTGGTGAGTTTCTCAACCGCACCCTCTCCTCCTACTGCTCAACCCATGGCATCCAGCAGACTCATACCCTTCCCCACTCCCCTCAGCAGAACGGTGTTGCTGAGAGTCGCATTCGTGAGATCACCAAGACGGCCCGCTGCCTCCTCACTCATGCCTCCACGCCCCCTTCTCTTTGGGGCTATGCCCTTGTCCATGCTGCTCTTCTTACTAATCTTTACCCACATTCTCAACGCCAGTCTGTCACTCCCACTGAGCTCTGGGCTAGCACCAAGCCAGATGCTGCCATTCTCCGTATCTGGGGCTGCAAGGCATATGTCCTCATCCCCCCACCTGACCGCTCTCGGCAGGCAGGAAAGCTCGCCTCCAAGGCCATTGAGTGTGTCTACCTTGGCCACGCTCGCTCTGCCCCTGGTTACCTCTTCCTTCACCCGTCCTCAGGCCGCCTCCTACAGAGCCGTGACGGGGTGTTCGATGAGAGCATCCCGTTCTATCATTCTGTTCCGCCTTCCGACCCCCTTCCTCCTCTCTCCCGCCCCCTCACCTGGGCTGATGCTGTCATTCCCCCACTCCTTCCCCAGGCTCCCCTCCTTCCTCCAAATCCTGCTCCTCCCCCTCCTCCTTCCTCAGGTGACATTTACGACCCAGCTGTCCCTGACTCCCCTGCTCACTCTGCCTCATCGCACCAGCACCAGCAGCAGCAGCAGCAGCAGCAGCAGCAGAAGGAGCAGCAGCAGCAGCAGCAGCAGCAGCAACAGCAGCAGCAGCAGGTGCAGCAGCAGCAGCGGATGGAGCAGCAGCAGCAGCAGCAGCAGCAGCAGCAGGAGGTGCAGCAGCGGATGGAGCAGCACCAACAGCAGCAGCAGCAACCGCAGGCAGTGCAGCAACAGCAGCCGCAGTAGGAGGTGCAGCAGCAGCACCAGCAGCAGCCACAGCAGCAGCAGCAGCAGCAGCCACTGCAGCAACCTCATCGGCATCGCCGCACCACCTCTCCGTTCATCCTCCCACGCATCCACACTCGCTCTCACGGCCCACTCATAGGCCATCCATGGGGTTGGCCAACACCACCCCCACCCTCCCTTCCCTTCATTGAGGACTCCCATGAGGAGCTCATTGGCGTTCAGCAACAAACACCTTCCCTCACGCCTCTCTACCCGGGCTTCCTTGGCCTCCTCATCCTTGGCATCGCTACCGCTCCCACCAGATTCACTCCGTCCAACTTCCTTGAGGCCATCACCTGCCCCGATGCTGCCAAGTGGATCCAGGCTATCTTTGCTGAATGCGAGGCCTTCATCCGCAATGCCTCACACGTTAACATTGTCCCCTCTCCTGACGACGTCATTGTTGAAGGCCTGCGGGTGTTCCGAGTGAAGCAGCTGCCGGGTGAGGAGCCGGTCTACAAGGCCCGGTATTGTGCCAAGGGCTTCACCCAAACCCATGGCATCGACTACTGGGAGACATTCTCTCCCACTGCCAAGCTCCCAACTCTCCGTGCCATCCTCGACTATGCTGTTCGCATTGGCATGGAGATTGCCTCCATGGATGTCTCCAACGCCTTCCTGCAAGGCGAGCTCCAGGAGCGGGTCCTCTTGCGGCGGCCTCCAGGCTTTCATGCAGCCTTCCCTGCCAACACAGTCTGGGAGCTGCGCCGCCTGGTTTATGGCCTCAAGCAGGCTCCTCGCGAGTGGCACAACAAGCTGGCCGCCACTCTGCAGTCCTTGGGGTTCCATGCCTCTCAGTCTGATGCCAGCCTTTTCCTTCGCTCCTCTCCCACCCGCTTCTTCATCCTGGTGTATGTCGACGACATGATCCTGTTCGCTGACGATGCTGCCGCCATGCAGCAAGTGAAGGACGCCCTGCATGCGCGCCTCAAGTGCAAGGACCTGGGTGAGCTCAAGCACTATCTGGGCATGACCATCACCCGGGACCGCACATCGCGCACCATTACCCTCTCTCAGTCCTTCTACATCGACCAAGTCTTGCAGCGGTTCGACATGGCGCAGGCCAAGCCGGTTACCACTCCCCTGCAGACCGACCACCAGCTTGCCCCTCCTCCTGCTCCCTCCTCCTCTGACCATCCTTACGCTGAGCTCGTCGGCTCGCTGATGTACGCTATGATGTGCACCCGCCCCGACCTTGCCTACCCCATCAGTGTTCTTGCTCGATTCGCCGGTACCGGTCGCCACACTGATGAGCACTGGGCTGCAGCGAAGCGGGTCCTCCGCTACCTCCGTGGTACCAAGGACTATGTCCTCACCCTCGGAGGCTCTTCTCCTCCCCTCCTCTCTGGCTTCAGTGACTCCTCCTGGGCTGACTCCCAGCCGGATCGCCGTTCCTCTCAAGGCTACGGCTTCACCCTTGGCAGCGGCCTCATCAGCTGGCGCTCCACTCGCTCCTCCTCCATCGCCCTCTCATCCTACGAGGCTGAGCTCTATGCTTGCACCATGGCCGCTCAAGAGGCTCGCTGGCTCACCTTCCTCCTTGCTGAGATCGGTGCTCCTCAGCGCTGTCCCACCCTCTGGTGCGACAACGCCAGCACCATCCATCTCACAAAGGACCCTGTCTTCCATGGCCGCTCCAAGCACATTCAACTCCGCTACTTCTTCGTTCGAGAGTTGGTCCAGCAAGGTCACTTGGTGGTCCGCAAGATCGCTGCAGAGGCCAACTTGGCCGACATCTTCACCAAGGCCCTCCCGAAGACCGCGCACTCTGCCCTCCTCCGCCTTCTCGGCCTTGGGCCCCGCCCCCCTTCCTGATTCTGGGGTTGTACCCTACATATCCACTAGCTTTGCATGCTATGGGGTTGTGTTAGAATATACCATGCTATGCTAGTTGTGTATATTGTGTTTACATCCCTAGTTGGGTGTACACCTGTGTTGGGGTGTCAATCCAACCCAATTGTGGTTGGAGCCCCCAAACACTGGTGGTACACCACACTTGGACCACCTCCAACTGGTGGTCAACCACATTTGGAAGGATCCTCCCTCCCTTGTGATTGGTCCTAACCCCCCTTTCCCTTCCAACCTTCCCTTCCTAGCTCATCTCTCTCTTCCTATGTAATGCCTTTGCTTCATCAATAAACTCAACCTTTCTGTTTCTAACACGAGCGCCTCCAATCTCCGAAGTGCGCTCAGCATCTGGACATGCTGTGAAGGTCGCTTGAGTTGGTCGAGCTGCGTTCAGAGCACCCGATGGTGGACTGGTTGTGCTGAAGGACGTGTTACTCGTACCGGGGCTGAAGGCCAATCTGATATCACTGCGCATGCTAGGCCAGGCTGGAGTCAGCACCACCACTAATGGATCCAAGACATTTAAGGGGCTGCTAGGAGATCGTGTGTTATTGGATTTTAATGAAAGCACCGATGTCTTCAGATCCATGTGGCACATCCCTGCGCTGATATGGGTATCAACAAAGAAGGAGATGGGAGCAGTCAAGGCGGGATCTGGAGTCCAGGGGGAGTGCAATGCAGTTAGTGCTGCAGGAGTGACAGTTTCTGCAAGGTTGGGGGAGACTGATTGGGAAACTGCACACAGGTGTCTAGGGCATGTGGCTATGCCGCTGCTGCAGCAACTGCATAAGGAAGAAGCAGTAAAGGGGCTGAAGGTATCTGGGCAACCAAATGATACCAAGTGCGAGACTTGTATGCTGAGCAAGTTCACACGGTTCCCCTTTCACGGCGTAGCTGGGAAAAGCAAGAAAGCACTGGAACTGGTGCACATGGACCTGGTAGGACATTTTCCAGTTCGAGGAAGTAAGAGGGAAAAGGTACTCTTGACAATAGTTGATGATTGGAGTTGGCTGATGTCGGCATACCCGTTGAAGCAGAAGGATCATGCTGCCTCAACAATACGAGATGACTGGCTCCCGTTCGTTGAGCGACAATTTGGGTGCCCAGGCGAGAGCATCAGAACCCACCGAGGTGGAGAGTTTCTAGGAGGAGATCTGACTACGTGGCTCAAGAAACAAGGCATTGAGCATCAGCTGACGACATCCTATACACCTCAGTCAAATGGCGTCGCTGAGAGGGCTAATAGGACCATTCTGGAAACTACACGAGCGCTGCTGATTGAATCAGGGCTGGGGAACTCCATGTGGCTTCATGCGGTCAGGCATGCTACAGTGGCAAGGAACCGCGTACTCACAAAGGTGGCCGATGATATGAAGGTGCCGCTGGAGAGGTGGCTTGGAAAGAAGCCTCCAGTGGACATGCTTAGAGTGTTCGGATGCATGGCAGTGGCGCATGTCCCTAAACCGTACAGGACAAAGCTTGGAGCATCTGCACTGTGGTGTGTGCACCTTGGGCTTGCTGCAGAAAGCAAGGGGTGGCTACTCTGGGAGCCCTCGAAGAATGTGCTGTTTGACAGTCGGGATGTCAAATTTGTGGAGAACATTGTTAGAAATAGATTGCAAATCCTACTTATGTATTTGTACGTTTATATCCTGGTTTAGGTTAGGAATGTTCTAGTGGGTTAGGGTGTACTCACCAAATCCCAACCTCACCCAATTGTGATCCCCCCAATCTCCAATTACCCAATTGGAGATTCCGGAGATCCCAATGCGGATTCCCTCCGATTCCCCCTTCATCCATTCTCCCTTACCTTGCCATGTACTTGTAGAGCCTTGGGCTCCTTACCTAATCAATCATTTTCAGCTCGATATCTTCTGCGCGGCCCAAGGGATTCGGCAAACCTTCACGCTCCCCAAAAGCCCACAGCAGAATGGCATTGCAAAGAGCAGCAACCACACCTTGGTTCAAATCGCTCGCTGCCTCCTCAGTTACGCCAACGCACCACGGTCACTCTAGGGATATGCCCTCTTCCATGCGCCTCTCCTCTACGATCTTTATCCTCATCCCCACCGTCCCGGCACCACACCTACCACTCTCTGGCTTGGGGCCACGCCCTCCGCCCGCTCTCTACGCGTCTGGGGGTGTACCGCATATATGTTGCTGAGCCCCCGCACGCGCAAGGAAGCAAGGTGGCAAGCTTTGGTCCCAAAATCCAGACCTGCATATACCTGGGGCACAACTCCGATTCCCCAGACTACTTATTCCTCAACCCCATCACGAGACAGCTGATTCGCAGCCGTGATGTCGTCTTCGATGAGACACGCCCCTTCCACTCTGCGACCACGGGCGAGCCTCGTCCACCTCCCCCGACGCTTGTATGGGCAGACTTCGATGCCCCACCTCCGGCCGCTGCCCCTTCTCCGGGACCTCCTCCGTCCGGCGTGTCTCACCTGGCCTCCCCAGTATCCTCCACAGCGGCACCTCCTCCTGCTGCGCCTTCCCCACGCGTCGAGCCCGGCTCACCAGTCTCCTACCGGAAGCGCCCAGTCCATCCGGTCCCACCGCAGCTGCCTTCGTCTCTGGTCTCTAGTCGCACTTGTTCCAAGGGATCGGCTCCGCCTCTCGCCTGGCGACCAGCCGCCTTCTCCATCCGGTGTTCGGTCACCCCGCCTCCTCCTGCCGGGGGTGATGTCCCCTCCATCCGTATTCCCCCCCGTGCACTTCTGGAGGACAGGCATGAGGAGCTGTTTGACCTTCACGCGGTCAGCCAATTTCTCTCTCACATCTTCCCGGACATTACTGACTGCCCTTCCCTCAACTTCACCGAGAACCCGACCATTCCGACTCCTCGCACAAAAGAGGAAGCTCTCTCGGGGCCTTATAAGAAGGAGTGGAAGGCAGCAATGGATGTGGAGAACGAGGCGTTCATTCGCAACAACAGTTTTGACGATGTCGTTCCCCCTTCCGGTGTCAACATCGTCGGTGGAAAATGGATCTTCCGAGTCAAACAACTCCCAGGCAAAGCTTCACTGTTCAAGGCACGATACGTGGCGAAGGGTTTCACCCAGAAGGAGTATCTCGACTTCTTCAAAACATTCTCGCCCACGTCCAAGCTCCCGATTGTGCGCGCTCTTCTTGATATAGCCGCTCGCGGCAACTTCGAGATCAAGTCCATGGACGCCTCCTCCGTTTTTCTCCAAGGCCAGCTCAAGGAGGATGTTCACATGGAACGCCCATCGGGGTTTCTTGGCACTTTTCCTGCCAACACAGTGTGGAAGCTGAAGCGCCCAATGTATGGCCTCAAGCAGGCTCCTCGTGAGTGGCACAACAAGGTGAAGGAAGTCCTCCTCGCACTTGACTTTCATCCCTCCGCCTCAGATTCTAGTCTTTTCGTTCGTCACTCCTCCGAGCCCTTCTACATCCTCGTCTACGTCGACGACTTCATTCTAGCCGCCAGAGATCCAGCCGACATGGCAGCTGTCTAGTCTGCTCTCAGCTCCGCCCTTCTCATGAAGGATCTTGGTGACCTCAAGGACTACGTGGGCATGGAGATCACTCGTGACCTCCAGGCTTGCACGATCACCCTCTCCCAGGAGTCCTACATCGACAACCTTCTCAAGCGGTTCGACATGGACTCCAGTAACTCTGTCTCCACTCCACTCCCACTACAGCATCAGCTCACGGCCCGTCCGGTTCCTTCTCCTGACACCTGCAAGGACCGGTACCCTGAGCTAGTCGGTTCACTCATGTATGCCATGATGTGCACTCGACCAGACTTGGCTTACCCGGTTAGTGTCCTCTCTCGGTACGTCTCCCCCGGACGCGACACTGCCTCGCATTGGTCTGCAGCCAAGAGGGTCCTCCGCTATCTACAAGCCACCAAGTCTCACATCTCCACTCTCGGTGGTACCTCTCTAGTCAAGCTCGAGGGATACACAGACTCCTCATGGGCCGATGACCAGACTGACAGACGCTCCTCCCAAGGGTACTGCTTCACTCTTGGTAGCAGAGTCATCAGCTGGCGTTCCACTCGGTCCTCTGCAGTCTCCCTGTCGTCCTGCGAGGCCGAGCTCTACGCAGGCACAATGGCCGCTCAAGAGGCACGCTGGCTCTCCTTTCTCCTCGCTGAGTTAGGCTACCCCCAGCAGTCGCCCACCCTATGGTGTTACAACCAGAGTGCCATTCACCTCACCAAGGATCCTGTGTTCCACTCTCGCACCAAGCATATTGAACTTCGCCATTTCTTCATCCAAGATCTTGTTCAGAGTGACCAGCTGACGGTACGGTACATCGCTTCAGATTGCAACCTCGCCGACCTCTTTACCAAGGCTCTTGGCAAGGCTGACCACCATCGCCTTCTTCATTCCATGGGGCTATGTGCTCCTTGACCAGGTTTTGCAGTCTATGGGGGTGTGTTAGAAATAGATTGCAAATCCTACTTTTGTATTTGTACTTTTATATCCTAGTTTAGGTTATGAATGTTCTAGTGGGTTGGGGTGTACTCACAAATCCCAACCTCACCCAATTGTGATCCCCCCAATCTCCAATTACCCAATTGGAGATTCCGGAGATCCCAATGTGGATTCCCTCCGATTCCCCCTTCATCCATTCTCCCTTACCTTGCCATGTACATATAGAGCCTTGGGCTCCTTACCTAATCAATCATTTCAGCTCTATTTACAAACATTATGTACGGCAAGTGGTAGAAGCAGCCGAAGGCAAGGGTTACTCAGCAGCTGGAAGAAATCACTATTGCAGTTCAATTTGTCCGAACCTGATGACAGTGAAGTCACTGAGCCAACAGCAAGCGGTACTGATGAAGGAAGCAATGAGGATATTGCAGCTGATGCTGAAGTCAAGGAACCGGAGCAGCTGCAGCAAGAGGCTTCCAAAGCACTTAGTCTGCCAAAGTGAAGGAAACAGATTGGTGGGGGAACAAAGGATTGGGTGAAGGTGAAAAAATGGGTAAATCCAACTATCTACTCTGCACGTACCAGAATGGCAACAAGAAAGCTGCTAAGCTCTACAAGTGGAGGAGCCACAACTGAGCAGCAGCAACACGCTCAAGGCGAAGATGCAGTGCTGTTCTTGGGTGATGACCAAGAGTCAGATGACGAGGAGCCTGCATACTGCTTTTACGCACCAATACAACCTCCGAGCATGGATCATGCGCTAGCCGGGCCTCAACGGGGGAAATGGCTCGTTTCAAGAGATGCAGAGTACAACA